GCAAAAAGAGAAGTTGTGGGCGCTGCCGGTTGGCGTGGAGCTTTGCCCGGCTGCTGGTCACCGGCGGGCCAGCTCGAGCACGGCCACCTGAGGTTGGAGCCCCTCAAGTGTTCAGCCCGGTGTGTGCGGACACAGGCCCACCAGGGCGTTTTCTGGAGTTCAGGACCACGTAGGTCAGAGGTGCTCCTAACTCCTCCTTCAGCTCTACGTAGGCTTTGGGCTTGCACGCACGAGCGTGCGTGCACGTGGGGCTTCTTGCGCGGACAGAAAACCCAGCAAAACCCACTGTGTGCATGGGTAGCCAGAGCCTGCAGGACCAAACTCCTAGACTAGCATTACTTAAAATAATGTTAAGGTTATTTGGTTCTTCACTGTGGGGATGCCACAGCTGGGATGGGCTGCACAAACATCAGCAGGTCCCAGAACGTTTCATCGGCCCTCGGTGACCTCGGTGACCGAAACAGGCCATTGTGAAGAGACGAAGCAACAGAGACCATCGCCCCAACAGCATGAGCAATGAAAACGCAGCAGCTCCGTAACGACTACCAAGACAGGGCCAGAGCCGACACGGCTGCAAACCGCAGTGGACCAAGCCAGTGCAGTGATGCAGAGCCAAGCTAAGGATTTCACCCAAAAGCTTCATTTCGACAGCCCACCTTTTCCTCCGGAGGAGCACGATGAACATTACGCGACAAAGCTACACGGATGTTTCCGAGACGAGAGGTTTCTTCCGGTATCCTGCTGTAAAAGAGATACTAAAGAATTGAAGGAATTAGCAGGCCAAAATCAAACCCGTACAGTCCTCGCGAGACGAGGCGATAGCCACGCAGGCTATCGAGGCTGAGCTGTGCTTGGTTCGATGCCGGCCAAGATACGTCGCCCGCGCCGCAGAGGGCCAACGGGCCTCGGGAATCCGGCAGTGATTAGCATCGCAAATCCGGGATGGCGGAGCGCCGTTGTCCGTGCCGTGGGGACGGCCCGTTCCTCTCCAGCTGCCGGGCTGGGACACGCGGCCAGGGCAGCCCGCGGCCCCTCGTGCACCTGGCGGACGGCGTGACGGGGGAATCGCATGCTGCTGCCAGGTTGCTTCTAGGTAGTGTGGTGTTTTGGGGGGGAAAAGGGAGCTGAGGTGAGCGTTACCGCTTGCTTTCTGTGCCAAACCACCAGATACTGCCAAAGGCAACCGAGTCCCAGAGATGTCCATCACAACTGCTGATGCGACGAGATGCAGAAGAGCTCGCCCCGCATGGCGCTGCGAAGGGACTGTGCAGCTCTCGCACAAAACACGTGAATTTGTTTTCAAACAGCTGCGCCTGGCCTTAAAATGACACCACGGTTTCCTTCCCCCCCGGAGCACGCTAGAGCAGTCTCCGCTCTCCAGGGCTGAAGCTGGCTTCATCCACTTCTGAAAGCCAGAGCCAGGAGGACCTGGCGCTGCAGGATGACATCTCAGCACGGCCCCAGCTGGCGAGAAGCAGAGCCAGAACGGGAGCAGCGTCAGATATAACTCACCCTGCAAACACGCGCAATGGCTTCATTGTGAGCTCGCAGAGAACTGATTTTCCCAAGTTAGCGGCTGTTATATTAGACTTTCGATAACATGTGACCCGACAGTGGAGAACGCAGTTTAGCACCAGCTAGAGTCACGCTGAGAAATACGTAATGGACTAAAACCAGGAGCAAAATCTGTTTCGGTGTTCAGCGATACACTGGGAGTCATGGCGCAGATCGCCTGCCCCCGCGAGCCAGCTACACTCCTCGGAAAAATGGGCCGCAAAATGCATATTTCGGATCTCCAAACAGATCTTGGCAGTGCTCGGAATAGCCCATAAATTAACACCACAATTATGAATTCCCCTTTTCTTTGATTTAGCACCAACCCGTTAAGGAACCGATACCCTATAGTGAAGCTCTGCAGGATATATCCCACGCACGTACCCGCATTCGGTTATTTTTTCACAGAATGACAGAAGGGTCGAGGTTGGTGGGGACCTCTGGAGATCATCTAGTCCAACCTCCCTGCTCAAGCAGGGTCCTCTAGAGCACATTGCTCAGGATCGCGTCCAGACGGGTTTTAAATATCTCCAGCAAAGGAGACTCCACCACCTCTCTGGGCAACCTGTTCCAAGGCTCTGTCACCCTCACAGGAAAGAAGCTTTTCCTCAGGTTCGGACGGACCTTCCTGTGGTTCAGTTTCTGCCCGTTGCCTCTTGTCCTGGGCACCACGGAGAAGAGGCTGGCCTCATCCTCTTGACACTCCCCCTTCAGATACTTGTAGACATTGATGAGGTCCCCTCTCAGTCTTCCTTTCCTCTCTCCCGTCCCTACCTGCCAGGTTTCCCCAGCTCACCAGGCGGAGCACCTCCCCCTTCCAAACCTCCCTTGGAAATCCAGAGCACCTGGCAAACCACCAGCGCTTGAGCACGTTCTACGGGAAGGATTTCGGGGGCCTGGCTCCATTTTTAAGCATCCGCAGAAGCGAAAGCTTTGGGCGCACGGGAGGGCGAAGGGCGACGCTGCGGGAAGGGTGGCGCGGAGCGGGCATTGGGGTGAGGTGCCACGGTCCACGCGCGTCGCTCCCGCTGCCGCGCAGCCCGGGGGCTCGTGGCCGGGGCCAGCAGGGCCAGCAGGGCACACACGAACGGAAAAACGAACAGACTAGGCAGGTGCTGGTTGTACAAATAGCTATTTGAGCTTTCCCGTTATACGTTAGCTACTCAACGAAGAGCCCCAGGCTGCTCCCTCTCTGCTGCGTCCTCCCCTCTTCTCGCGGTCTACTGGCTTTCAGGAGGTTCCTCTCGCTCCTTCTCCGGCTGGCGCTACTCCGACTTCTGCAAGGAGCAAACACAATCCTTCTCCTTCCCTGGTGGAGTAAAGACCGAGTATAACCGTGAATTATTTCCACATGCCTCACAGAAGTGGAGCAGTGCCGAGGCAGCCATAACTGTAATATATTTCATTTTAATGTTTCTGCTGTGAATAGAGCAGGATGAAAAATTTCCATTAAAACTTTCATTTTTCAACTGCAAAGCGCCCTTTGCCAAAAACACCTATTTTTGTTTTCCCTCACAGACCATTTTTTAAGTTCTTTTACCTAATAAAGTCATTCATTGTTTAAAAAAAAAATTCTAAGTTTAAGTATTAATTAACTAGAGGCAGAGGAAGTCAGATGACGGCATAGTAGCGACTACTCCAGATAGTCACGAGATCATTCAGAAAATCAACTGAGACAAATCTTAAAACGAAAACATACCAAATAATTGAAGGGAAAGTAAAAAGGTTTTCAAGCAACGAGAAGAAATTCCTTTGCCGAAGACTGGCAGCTTGGCAAGGCTGACAAGCGTTCGAGTGCTAAAGGTTCGGTGCCCGGGGCGATGTCCGGTCGCGATACTGCCTCCGGGAGCAGACTGGAGATCTGGTCCCACCTCCGAGATCCTCAGCTCGGCACCCTGAGAAAACAGCGCCCAGAAGGACGAGCAGACCTGGGAGGCATCTCGTCACAGGGCTGAGCTGATTCTGCATGCGTTTAGCTATTTCAACACCACTTTTTGCAGGCTACCAGACAGGTTTATGCTTTAGCGATCGGGCTGATGAAAGGTTTGTTGTCTTACCTGCTCCGTGCCCCCTGCCCACGTTTGCCTTGATACCCATGACACCGCACAGAGCGTTTGACTTACGGAGAGATACGCCATGAAAAATGGAAGAGCAAAAGTTTTACAAATGTGCAAATGAATAAATTAATATTTCATGAAAGTTCACTTCAGAAAAAAAATGCATTTTCCCAATGACTGGCATAGGTATAATCTCCCCGTTTCACTGCCCGCGAGCACAGAGCGGAGAGGCAGTGGTCTTGGTGAGTAAAATACATGTTACAAAGGTTAGAAAAAGTCACCGAGCAATTTTTATTGTCTGCCTCTTGTCAAGATGCTGAAAGTTGAAAATTTCCCCCAGTGTTAATAACACAGTATTAGTTACACATGACTGCCTCGCTGGAGTTAAACCAACACGACTCCTGCGCACTCAGCCCTCAATTTCTCTAGCGGCCGGCTATTTAAGAAAATCAAACCTTTCATATCTTGCAGCATAGGTCAGTACATCGCGTGAAAGGCGCTTCACTGCCAACCAAGTGCTATTGTGACCTCTGAGCTTTTGCAAAAAGCTCTGCAGGAATACTGTCACCCACGAACAGAAAACGCAGGGAAAACCACGGAACTATCTACTCTAAAGGTAACTCCTCAAGGATTCCTAGACTATCAGTAGAGAACCGATATTGCAACGCGCAGGTACTCGTCTAGCGCAAACTCCATGCAGCTCCATTGGCTCCAGTTCTTCTGTTTTGGTACTTTTGGGGTTCACAGAATGACAGAAGGGCCAAGGTTGGAAGGGACCTCTGGAGATCATCTAGTCTAACCTCCCTGCTCAAGCAGGGTCCTCTAGAGCATATTGCCCAGGATCACATCCAGACGGGTTTTAAATATCTCCAGCGAAGGAGACTCCACTACCTCTCTGGGCAACCTGTTCCAAGGCTCTGTCACCCTCACAGGAAAGAAGTTTTTCCGCAGGTTCCTGTGGTTCAGTTTCTGCCCGTTGCCTCTTGTCCTGTCACCGGGCACCACAGAGAAGAGACTGGCCCCACCCTCTCAACACCCTCCCTTCAGATACTTGTACACATTGATGAGATCCCCTCTCAGTCTTCTCTTCTCCAGGCTGAACAGGCCCAGCTCCCTCCGCCTTTCTTCATAGCAGAGAGGCTCCAGCCCCCTCATCATCTTTGTAGCCCTCCGCTGGACCCTCTCCAGTAGCGCCATATCACTCTTGTCCTGGGGAGCCCAGAACTGGACACAGTACTCCAGGTGAGGCCTCCCCAGGGCTGAGGAGAGGGGCAGGATCACCTCCCTCCACCTGCTGGCAACGCTCTGCCTAATGCAGCCCAGGATACCATTGGCCTTCTTGGCCACAAGGGCACACTGCTGCCTCATGCTTAACTTGTTGTCCACCAGGACTCCCAGGTCTTTCTCTGCAGAGCTGCTTTCCAGTAGGTCAACCCTCAAAGGCTAACAGGCACTGCGAAGGGTTTCTGAGGGAAGCGGACTCCAGCAGGCAAAGGGATTCCCACGGGAAAGGCTGGTGAGGGCCGAGGGCACATGGCACACTCCCAGGGGCAGGTTTTCCTCGCTTTGCAGGAGCAGGCAGGCAGGTTTCTTAGCAGTTCCTCCATGACGACATGCACCTGCGTGTCAATCCAGGGCTGTGAAAAAGGTTCACTTCACCTATTATCGTCACAGTGATGGAAACTGAAGAAACTCAATTCCTCTCCACTCTAGAGGTTTTCCATGTTCTGCATTTGGCTACGTTGTTTTGATACCAGCATGTCTGAATAGAAAATTAGCCCAGTAGATTTAATTACAAAAGAAACTGGAGACATTTCTAGCAGAAATTAGTTTTACCTTAAGCATTTACACGCTCTTTTGTAGATACAAAAAAAAATTTTTTTTTTTTTATAAGCACCAGTGAACTCTGTGCCTCATACTCACTGAAGACAGAAAAGATCCTAGGAAATTAGATACGTTTCCAGAAGATAAGGTATTTAATGAGGATTTGGGAAATGTCTACAAATATGTTACTGTCAGTGCCTTAATACACCGGAGGTGGCCTGGCTGCCCGGCCAGCCCCAAGCTCCCTCGCCGTTGCGGGGACAACCTCTGAGGTCGACTCCGAGCTCTCCAGAGCGCTGCTTCGCTGCCTCGGCCTTTGCCAGCGTTTGTGGGAAAAGGGCAGAAGCTTTGGGTCTCAGAAGAGGTCTGTTTTCATCTCTTTTACCATACACAACAGCTTATATGTGGTACAACTTCAAAAAAGCATTTGCTCATCATTAGCCCTGCTATTCTGCATGGAATCCCATAAATTACATAGCTGTTGCTATGAAATTAAGATGTAGATAGGGAAATCGTTTACAAATCCTTTATCTGTTGCATCTGGAAGTTCCGGAGCACTGATTAGTTAAACACAGTTATGGGATAGCCTTAAAGGCAAGAAGTGTAGAGTAGTGACTTTTGCTAAGGATTCTCCTGGAATTTTATACTTCAGAGTATAAAATTCTGCGATTCTAAATAAGGAATTTATCTTTATGAAGAAAGTTGAGCGACTTCTGCTCAACATCTTCAGAACATTTCTTCCCAAGTTAGGTAATAATCAAATACAAATTAAATACCATCACAAAACATGTCATTTCGGTAAAAACATGCATTTTTGAGGAACGTTAGCAACTTGTTCTTTAATTTGGTTTCCAACCTTCTTCATTTTTGTACTATTGCTTCTAGAGTCTCTCTGTGAGCTGTAATTTCAAAAGGGACCATCCATTCCCACATGTAGCGTGTTGGTAATGCAAATAACACGTTGGCACAAGTTAGATCAACAGGGATTGACAGGTGGAAATCCAATATGACCTCAGAGAAGGGATCCAGAGCTGCAACTGAAACAAATCTGCTAATTTGTCCACACGGGAAAGCACTTAACCCAGTCCAGAGCTCCTCTGAAGCCAATGGGACTCCTCCCAGCTCCAAGTTAAGTCCATGCTTAAGTGCTTTGCTGGAACAAGGCCTAAAGCAGCAGCATCCGTCACTGCTACGTCAATTAGAGTTTTTAGGATTTTGGAGACCAACTTTGATCTTCCTGGGTGCTGATTTTACCATTCCAGGTCAACTGATCATGCCAAATAATTCATTTTTAAAGTCTCTTCTGATCTTTGCTTTTAAGCATACTAGCAAGACAGATTCATTTTTATTTCTTCAAGAGTGCTTGCAGAGTAGGGTTCAACAGTCAAATAATGGCTGCCCACCTCTTGCCCAGCTTCAAAGCATCAACCAAGGGTCACCTAACATGGGCAAAAGGCATAAAATATGACAGCTTAAAAATTAAAAGCATCAAGAAAAGCAAAATCTTTTTCTTGAGAAGAATTCCTCTGTTACAAAATTGGCTTTGTTCTGAATCAGGAAGATCCAAATACTGAAAACATTTATATAATGAAAACTCCAAATACTTTGGTTTGAAAATAGCAAAATGACCTTTTGGACGTGAAGCATTTTGACAATTATATAATATTTTTTAAAGAATAAACAGGCTAAAATCCTAAGCTCAACACTAACATTCAATTTCCATTTTTTTGTCCATCCTTTCAAAATTTTATGAAAACTGATGTTCTCATAAACCATTTCAGTTTCAACAGAAGTGCATTTTCCAATGAAAAATTGTTCAGATGATTGCTTTTCTGCCTGCTTTAACTGCTCTAACTAGTTGAAAAAAGCTTTGGGAATTTCTAGGGGATAATTGCTTTAACCATTCAGCCTCACACCTTGTTATCATGAATCCTATACCTAGAGGAAAGTCTCTCTTAACATGAGAAGTTACTGGGAACCCTCAGGTGCTTTGTGCACTTGAAAAATCAAGCTATTTGATTGAATTTCTGAATATAGCTTTTTTCATTTTGGAAGCAGAATTATATTAAATTATATCATATTATAATTTATTGTTTATGAATGATATTGGAAGTGCTGATGGAATATATAAAGTATGACAGTGGGATTCGCATCTTTATTTCATTCCAGAGTAATACAGGATTATTGTACCCTGACATATTTATAGTATTGAATGGAGGAGTCAATTATGCGCCAGGTAATTGTCTACTGGGTCTACCTATAGTACTGAAGACTTAGAAGATAAACACAGGAAATTAATCCGGAGTAGGACATTGAACCTGTACTTTGTAATTGGCAAATAGTCACCAAACCTGGTCCAGGGGCCAACTGTGATGGTCTTTCTGTTTACTTTGGTGGGTTGCTAGCACACCAGTAAGACAAAACTATTATCCTGCTTGCTGTAGAAGAGCCGTTCTTTCACGTGCTGTTTTCTGCTTTACAACAGCATTACTCTTCTTCCAGTGCATCAAATGCCATAAAAAGTGGACGTAGCCAGGAGATTCCTCCCCAAAAATGAAAATCACTGAAAAATACTTGTTCGTTTAAATGACAGATTCATAAAATAGGTTCCAAAAAAACCACAAAATCTTAAGAAGTCTCCTATCTCTTTTTCTTTCAGGGAAAAATAGCTAACCTTTTAAAAACAGTATGTTTAAATATTTGTTTTTAGAACTCACATTTTCAGCTTTCTCAAACAGCTTTTTACAGCATTTAGAATATCTATCTGTAAACAGGTTTTTCTAAAAGAAAAAGAGTCAAAATTCACAATAATAAAGCCTTCTACAGACAAAATTGGATGAAAGGATGTATTCTTCATAACTATCTTCAGTTTTTCAGTAGATTCATAGTCAAGGGCAAAGGAAGTGGTTTGCTCCACGTGAGGAGCAGCTGAATTCAACCAAAGCCCTTGACGGCAAAATTGGGATTTTTGATGGCACTGAACAGCTTGGATCAAGTCCTTGCTTGCCGTGAGCGCAACAGAGTGAAATCAGAAGTGCTATGGACGTGCATTAATTTACCCTTAAGGTAAGGTTGTCGGGCCTTCTGAACGCGAGATGCTTCTCCAGGGCAGCGGTCTCTGTCTCGTGCACGCACTCACTGCTGCCAGTCCACCGACAGGCACTTTCCATGCAAGCTCAGATTATCAAAGCAAACTTGAAAATTAATACAATAACCTAAAAACAAAAGACAGGAGATTATGGGGCTTTGCTTTCCCTCGGTGCGTAGTTGAAACACCGTGCACCTGCTCTTCGGGTGGTGGCACGGTGCACACATCTGCTTTTGTCCATGCTGCTGGTGCAAGCTGTGGATCGCCTTTCGTTATTGCCCTGCTACTCGTCCTGTAACCGCCATGAACTCATGGCGGTCATTAGGTAAATGACCTAAGCCACAACCCTCTGCCTTGCCCCGCGTGCCTGCCCCTGCGCCTGCTCAGCCTCGCTGGGGATTAGCGCGTTAAACGGACGGCTCTTCCTTCCACGCTGGGCGAGCCTGCCCACTGCCTACTCCACGGCTGCTCCTCCCAGCCAGGCGGATTAAAGGCTGCAGCGTTTCCACGTGCAAACGCACCCTCTTGCAGCCCTTGACATGCAAGTGGAGGTGGAGAATCCTATGAAGTGCGAGATTAGGGCTTTTAAAATAATTGTGATAAATGATAGCATCTGCATGCACTAATTTCCCTCAAGATGCGTTAGATTAATTTTATGAAGTTAACGTCCAGAATAGCAAACATTCGCCGTTTGTGTGACCAACGCTTGGAAGCCGTTTGAGCTCTCACAGCTCTGCACGTGCTTTCGAGCATTGTCAGTATAGAGAAAGCACAAAGCGATTTAGGAAAAAGCAGTGAGGGAGCCCAAATCTGGTCTCCCGACAAGGTATTCAGGAGATTCACGTTATGTGGGTAAACTGATACCTGGGCACTTCGGGGTCCGTTGGAGCTCAACTGCTCCTCTAACCAAGACGCCCGTATTTGAAGGCAACGTCGACAGCCACGTACTCCTGCCCCTGTTGGCTGTTAGCACGGGCGGTGAAATGATTCTCCTCGATTTATCTATTACACAAAGACATGCAATTCTCACCCGACTCCTGTAACCTACACTCATAACAAACTTGCATTGCCCTTCCTGGAGTTTTGCCCGCATGAAGGCTGTGAATCAAGCCTGCTCTTGTGTGAGCTTCTGGCTTTTCATGATGAACGGTTTGCAGGTGCAGGAGTAGAGTAAAGAGTGATTTGGCAGGTGTTGGTCCTTCTTGGTGCACCTGGTCATTGAAAATTTGTTGATTATCACACATATTGGTGTACCACCATATAAAGTGGATTAATCAAGCCCACAGAGCCATGAGAGTGCCAGCGTCACCTTTCCACCACAGACAAGGTAATGCCCATACATACCCCCATGCTGCCAGCAACCTCCCACAGGCAGAGCATCACAGGAGAAACCACATCGACAGGAGACAACAGCCCTTCCAATCTGCTCAGGAAACAAAGGTCAGGGTTTGGTATTAATATTTCATTGTATTATTAGTGTGTATTAGCACACTTATTCCATGTTGCATGCCACGCTGCTCATACAGTAGGGCGGAGGACCCTTTAACGACATTTGTTGAACGCTGTGAACAATCTATGGCTGAGGACAAACAGCTCTCCAAGATAAATAGGGCTTGATCTGTGTTTTTCAATGCCATACATATTACTTAACCCCAAATAAGACACAGCTGAAGGGGGTGGTATACTATTAGTTCACTATAGTTTTCCTTTTGAATAGACTGTAGAGAACAGACGGTGATTTTTACTGTCCACAGGGATGTGTGAAGTGCTGCAATCACTTGCTCCTCCTCTATTTCAAGATCTGGGACTACAGTTTCCAATGCTACCAAGTTGACATCCGTGTTTGAACATACACCACCTTCGCAGCTGGTTCAACGAGCTCCATCACAAGTAACCGAATGCCTGTGAGATATAAGCATCTGGAAGAAAAAAAACCTTAGCTGAAACTCAGCCCAGAGGAAATGGAAGTTAGAAGAAATATGGTAACACTTAGCAGAGCAAGCCAAGACCGGGATTCTCTCCTCCGTTGAGAGGATCCATGCTCCAGCTGCCAGAGCAGTGCCAAGAACCGGGGTATTACTGGGAGCCTGCTCCGTGGGTAGGATTGGACTGTCAAGAAACAAATAAATTATCTATTTTACGTCATGTTTATTGGCCCAGTCCCTTCCAGACCTACCAACCCTGACACATGCAGTATCTACAGGATGAGCACCAGTCATTCCTCCTGCTAACCTGAACATCAGTAAGAGCTAAGCTTCTGCTGAACAACATGCACAACTGAAGCAGAGCTGGATTTTCTATCCATCTACCACAAGAACGATCAAAGCCTCTTTCGTCGTCCTGTTTCTAGACCCCCACCTGATTCTTTAAGATCCTTTGGAGTAAGGAGCTATGTTAATGCCAAGACACCCACGAGACAGACAGTAGCATTGCACAGCAGTCACGACCAGGCCTTACTAACTGTCAGGACCCTTGAAAAAGGATAATCTTCTAGCAGAAGATAAAAAAAAGGGGGGGGGGGCAGGAGGGAAGGTTATAAAGAGTGCAAAATTCACCTTTTTACAGAAGCTTATCCTTCGAAGCGTCCCCTTCACCTGCATACATCTACACCATTAAAACCTACGCTACCAGGAGACCATTTGCACAGGCTTGGTTGCTGCTTCTTTTGCAGGCTAAGTACTTCATATCCTACAGTAAGTTTATTTTCCAATATTTTTACATAAGATTTCTAGAACTGGGAAGATAGAAAGCGTAGAGGCACGAGACAGAGGGGAAAAATAAAGGACACCTTCAGACCACAAGATAAAACACACGCAGCTGAGCGTACTACAGAAGTACCTTTATCTGAAGAGAGGTCCGTGTTTCGGTCGCGTCTGGAGCTCAAGTGCAGCAGTCAAGGCCTCCTCCTGAATAGCTGAAGCCTTTCCAGCTGGACACTTTGTCCTAAGAAAGATAACATACACGACACAAGGATCATTTCGTCTGCACTTGAATAGGCACCTCTGTGACACACCAGCTGCTAACAGGCCCAACAGGACACGCACCATATGCACACCTCCTCTCTGAGCAGGCATGGCTCATATTATGCTTTATATGTTCTCTAAAATGTATGCATATGTACATATATATGAAAATATAACTTCAGTTCATTGAGATCTGTGAAGGCTGCTATTATCTTCTGAAATCACTTGCAGCATTCAACGCCTTGCTCAGTTAACAACCCTTTTGGGTCTTACAGCTTTTTTAATTTCAAAATGCTTTTGCAGAAACCCTATTGAAGTTGCAATGTTTGCTGCAGCAGTGTTCCCTCTTTCTATATAACCTGCATCTACCCCAAACGGGAATCTGCAATTTGAATCTACAACATACAACGAACCTCACATCAGGCCTTTCTATCAAAACACGTCTGATATGAGTAACTTGGTGCTGACAGCCCTGAACCTGGGGGAAACCAGGGGCTGGAGACCATAACCACAGCGGCCAATTTTGCTTGTTTGTTCCAAGGGCAAGTGTGGAAAGAACAGGTTAAGATCACCTTCTAAAAACGTGATTTATTTTTTCCTCGAAAGAGATTATAGAAGACAACAGGCTTGCTCTGCGCTACACAACACTATGACTAGTAGAGGCAACACAAACTTATCCCTTCCACTATATAAAGAAACCATTTGAAAAAATAACTTGAGTTTAAAAAACATTTAATTTCTCCTGCCCATCCTATATATTTCACTGCAATTTTTAGGATAAAACAAACTTCTTACACGGGCAGAACTCATAACTGATGAAGTTTAACATTGCGGCCCTGAAACATCTGTATCCAAAAACTTGTAAGGCTTAACACCAAGAATCAATGTTTATAACAATTATCAACTAATGTAATTCACTGAATGCATTTGATTGTAATTTTAAAACAGTTGTGTAATTTGACCAAAGGGTTTTTTTTTTTAAATGTATGAATGACTCATATATGTGACTGCATTATTGAGATTGTCATGACTGACCGACGGAGCTGAGGTCCTGACCTTACAAATAAACGTACCTTTATGGTGCCTAGCAGCTGCACAGGCATAACTTCAGTGGAAATCTGTGCACGTAGAAGCATTCGTTAATAACAGGGTTGTATTTTATTTTTATTTTCTTGTATCGGCACTACGTAAGTACCCTCCTCTTGGCAGACTAATCCAGAATACGTACGTACTGAGCTAATTCTCATTTCTGCTAATTTTGGGGAAAAGGAAGCTGCCTTACGTTAGAGGAATTTGGACCGGGAACAGTAGAGGTAAGGTTGGGGGGAGGAAGGCTTTTTTTTTTGCCCTCTCTTCAGGAGGACACGGTGATGACCTCCCATAGCCATGCAGTCAGACGGTCACATGCAAACGGTATATGTTGGCTTGGATTCGCATCCGGAGACGACCCGACGGGCCGAACGAACAACTGGGCATTAGCAGGAAGAACGCGCTGCAGCCAGCCGCCGGGACAGCGCCCGGCGAAGGGCAGACGTCACGACTAGTAGATAGCTCCCTAACAGAAAAAGCTGCCTTCCGGCACGAAGCACAGATGCGGTATGCGCCCATCTCCGTTTGCTTCGTGGTCTGCAGCACGAGGACTGACCGGAAGGACAGTTTGCTCTTCTCCCGCTGGCTCGAGGAGGACGGGACGGGACGGGACGGGCAGAGCCAGAGCTGCGGGATGAAACAGGGGAGGCGGCGTGCGGGAGCCGGGGTGCTCGCTGCCCGTGACATCGGTCTTCAGCTTTTTTGGGGATGCTTACGAGTTTCCTAAGGAAATAGGTACCTCACCCAAGCACCTGGCATTCAGCGTGGAAAGGGACTAGGGCAGGACCCTGGTCTCCTCTTAGGCAGCTTGTCCGGGCGCCGAGTCACCTTTAAGATGCATCGCTAAGATTTGTCCCAGGCCCGAAGAGAGAGGAAAAAGCTTAAAACACAAGAGCTCGTACTACCTGCCAAGACGGGGCCCGCTGCGGGCAGCTTTGCGACGGGTAGACGCGGCCAGGGTCCGCGAGGGGGTACGCCCGCGAACGCCGCCGCCAGCGGTATCGCAACAGATAACTTTCGTGCCGGGCCAGAGCAGGGCGACGAGCTTCCCGGGCCGCGAGCATCTCTCCGCAAGGCGGCGAGGCGTTCCCGCGACC